AAAGAATTTTAAATATGTAAAAGTATTAAGCCGACCGAACGTCTGATTTTAGGAGAATGGAAAAACTTATTCGTTTTATTTTATCCACAATGTCAACTGGTTAATAAAGAGCTAACAGTAAACAAAATATTTGTTTGTAAGTAAACAAGTTCATCATTATTTACATACGATTTCCCTTAGTAGGTAGGTACAGCGGATTCGTCCTTCCTTATAATGTAAGAAACTATTATGCTAATATTATCAATTAATTTGCGCGAATCGATATTTTGAAGGCCTTCTTCAGTTTATAAACATTGATTGAAAATATGAAAGATTTGCACTTATTTTCAGTCACAATCGTAAGGGCATTATATCTATCTACAAACTTCCTCGATAAAAGGACTATTCAACACATAAATATTTTTTCGAATCTGACCCAGTAGTCACTGACTTTAGCGCTCCTTACCCTTTATTCCCGAAGGGGTAGGCAGAGATGCACATTATTCCACTGTACAATGTAAACACCCACTTTTCACTCCCATGTAATAGCGAGTGAGCCTATTGGCATATACCGGGCACAATTCCAGATTCCGTGCTACCACTGAGTATTTTTTTTAAACAAAGTAAAAAAGTAAAATTCAATGTTATTCCTCAGTTTAAAAATTATCTGGTGTTGAAAAATCAGCCCTAAATGATTGTAAGTACGGCGGCTAGTTGCTTAAAATATCGTAATATGGGTAAAACTAGTAGCGGTTCTACGAAAACTATATGTAGGTACTGATTACATATTTGAATAGGGCAGGTAAAACCAATATTTATAGTACTAAGTACTTATGTACTATACTATACTATTAATGCCTAATATTATGTACTGGTATAGTGGTATTGGTACCCAAATAACAATATTAGCTTTAAATCAATACAGAACACAAATATTTTAATTACATAACTTAAGTTCAAATATAAGTTAAGGATACTATTTTAAAGTTAAATAATGATAGTAATTGTTCGAATCCACAATAGTTTGTCGTTACGAGTATTGAACTTATAACAGGTAATACAGAAGTCACTCGATCAATTATTGCACCCAATGTGCATTAGCATGTAAAAATGTAAACATTGACTAGCGACTAAGTAATAAGATTTTGCTCTATTTTTCATTTATGGCACAATGCAACTTTTTTAAGTCACTGACAATTTATTTACAAAGGATTTGAAATGGTCTATTCTGGCACAAAATATGTATTGACTATATATGGTGACGATAAAAAAAAGAATTTATCAAAAATGCCTCCCTATGAGACATCTCATCTGACCTTACAGAAAGTAATAAAAAAGTTACTCACTCCAGGTTTATCGCATTCCACCACCACTGGAGGTTCAGAAGACTGGTCCACCTCCTCCACGACGGTTTCTTCAATAACTGGCGGCTTGACAACTACGGAAGGGGACTCTACTACTACAGTCGGTGTCATACCCAACTTAGCAGCTATTATATTAAAGCCGCCTCTTGCTAGGGCAGCCCCTATAAATAAAGTGCCGTTAAGCACAGCTCCCGCCAGTGATGCAGCTGCTGTAGCTATTATGGAACCTAGAATTAATGAAAGATCTATTTATTTTGGTCTCCAAATGCTTCAAGCACATCAATTTTAAAATAATAATGCACGATATGATAATAAATAATGTGGACTTAAGTATAAATTCTCTACCAGGCGAACGTATTGGTTTATTATTATTATGGCATACATAAGCCGGTAAACGAGCAGACGGATCACCTGATGGTAAGCAATCGGCGTCGCCCATGGACACCTGGAACACCAGAGGCGTTACAAGCGCGTCACCGGCTTAGGAGGGAGGGATTAGGAGTTTGAGGATCGTTGGAGTTTCAAGGATTGGGGAGATTGGGGAAGGGGAAGGTATTTGGGCCGTCGGTAACCTCACTCACACGACGAAACACAACGCAAGCGTTGCTTCACGCCGGTTTTCTGTGAGGCCGTGGTATCACTCCGGTCGAGCCGGCCCATTCGTGCCGAAGCATGGCTCTCCCACACTTATATATGTATATTATACAAAATAAAAACCAATAGGTTTTTTAGATATTTATGTACAAAAAGCAAGCAAGAGATATATATTTCATAGTAAGCAAGAGATCTATAGTTCATTTGTGTACGTCTGTAGCCCAATTTTTACGACTTCTGGTAAACAGATCAAATAGCAGTCGCTTTATGAGCCTAATGTCGGAATACTCAAACGCTACTCAATTTTAAGTCGTGCTTAAGTATAGTTCTGTCTCCACAAATTCTTTGTAAAATGACAGAGATGGCACGATATTTAAGCACGACTTAAAATTGAGTAATGTTTCAGTATTCATAAATAAGGCTGAATTTGGTTACCGACTAACTGCCGCACTCACACACGAATACTGAAACACTACTCAATTTTAATTAGGTTTTACGTATATATCGTGCCATCTCTGTCACTTAACAAAGAATTAGTAGAGACAGAACTATACTTAAGCGCGTCTTAAAATTGAGTGACATTTCAGTATTCGGGCATCAG